CCTTTCATTTGTCCCGTGTTTACAGCACATGTAATTGTTGTTTCAATCAAAGTCACGCCCACCCTGAATAAACCGACTCCCTCTGAAAACCGACCATAGATCCCAGTCCCAGTCATGGTCGGTTTTGACAGGTTTTACTGTACATTTTCAGTTCTCAGCATTTGTCATATAATACTTTTGAATATATGACATAAGGTTTTAGTTGGACCGATAAATATACTCTGAAACAAAAAAACAAAAATTAACCATACATGGCACACTTCACCAGTACACACAAGTGTGTGGGATGCAGGTTTCAAGCTGATGTGTGTGATGTACTATTTGCAACAGACCTTATTTCATTATGTTTTGTTTTCAGAGAATACATTATGTAGTGGTGACCATGTGTCCTGGCATAACCCATTAGATAATAGTGAGTCTCGTATTAACCATATGTTGATGGTCGAAGACCCACAACTGCCACCGATAACAACACCCTTTGGGTCAGTACAATTCATTCAGGTATGTATTTGTCATCATGTGGGCTTTCGTTCTATGGCATTGTTATGTGATTCATTATCATGTGGGCTTTCATTCTATGGCATAATTGTTATGTGATTCGTCATCATGTGGGATTTCATTCTATGGCATTGTTATGTGATTCATTATCATGTGGGCTTTCGTTCTATGGCATTGTTATGTGATTCATTATCATGTGGGCTTTCGTTCTATGGCATTGTTATGTGATTCATTATCATGTGGAATTTCATTCTATGGCATTGTTATGTGATTCGTCATGTGGGCTTTCAATCTAAGGCATGTGATTTGTCATGTGGGATTTCATTCTATGGCATTGTTATGTGATTCGTCATGTGGGCTTTCAATCTAAGGCATGTGATTTGTCATGTGGGATTTCATTCAATGGCGTTGTTGTGTAATTTGTCATGTGGGCTTTCATTCTATGGCGTTATGTGATTCATCATGTGGGATTTCATTCTATGGCATTGTTATGTGATTCATTATCATGTGGGCGTTCATTCCATGGCGTTGTTATGTTATTTGTCACATGGGCCTTTCATTCTATGGCTTTGTTGGTTCTACTTACTCAGTCATGTGATATAACATACAAAGACAATTCTTATATTAACTATGGTGTACTCCTCAAGCATAGTGGTTTCAACAATTACTTCTACTGTTACAAATATGTATGTGAGAATTGTGCATTGTTAGCAAATCAGTCACCATGGAGGCTAACATTTGTGTGGCATATAATGCATTAAAGTGCCTGTGAAATGGCTGCTATTTTCACACCTAAAATTATCCATTGATACATAAATATTATTAATTTTTATGTTTCTAATCATGAATTATTTATTTTAAGTGAAAAAATGTGTTTTAAACTCAGTCTATGGCAACTTTATTTTCGTGTATTTTAAAACGAAGCTCCTCATTAGCTTCTCATTTGCATACAGAAATTCCCCTTGTGACGTCAGAAGGGGAAGTCGCAGGGCAGCTTGCATTGCGATACGTGTAACTAAGGCAAATTTCTTGTGCAGTTTTTTCGTCTTTGACTAAATTGTCACTTAATGGACCATAATGAACACTTAGTATCAATTTTTGTTGCATGGGGTTGAGTTAGATGCGAAATATGTTCATTCTGGTGTAGCTGGTCACCGTGATTGTCACCGACACTGGTGCACGTTTGTACACTGTCTCTGGACAAAATAGAATTTGACATCAGAATTATCTCGTTATTTAGCAGGTTACTAGGCACGTCACTGCACTGTTTTATTTCATCGATCGTCTGAGTAAAACTTTCAAAATTAAAATAAAAGAGAACATATTTTGACATTCTAAACATTAGACTATAGTGATCACTATAAAATATCAAGAATGACGCACATACAGATTATTTCAGAGTGGATTCGATTTAGCATGATCCATAGCACGATTGTCATAATTATAACATCTTATTAAAACTTTATTCGGTGGAAACACATTGACCAAGCCCGGATTCTTATTCCATAAATTATTACGCAGATCAAGCTGCAAGCATGGAGGTAAAAAAAGAACAGAGGTGTGAATTCGACATTCAACACCAATCACTGAACAATTCAGAAACATTTTTTTAGCCTTCGAAAATGAAAACAATCAGCAGTGTGTAAGGGCTGTGTAATTTCCTGTTTGTCAAACGCTTCGTTATCGTGTCACTGTCAAAATTATTGTTACCTTTTACTTAACAGGGGCTAAATGGTCTCCATAAAACGATAATCAGGATCGC